AGTATTAGACCTAAATACATAAAATGCTCCAACATCAAAACTGAACAAAGACAATGCAAAAGAAAAAAATTAGCAAAATTATGGGCATAAGCATAAAAATTCTGGGTAAATGTCATATTACTCAGTAATATGACATTTATATTATACTACTTATAAGTTTATATGTAATATAATCTAAAAAGGAATGTCATGTTACTACATATTAATAATGTTAATAAATATAGACTATATAGTACTTAGCAATCTTATATTACTTTCTATACCTGGATACTTATCTCTTTCTCAAGTTTTGGAAAGCATAATGTTATTATTTCTTTGGTTAAGATTTCTTTCCCTTGCTGTAGCTTTGTTCTCTTTTGGACACCAATCATCCTGAGATTTGGTCTTTTGAGATAATTTTCTGTTTCTTATTGCCATTGCTTTTCATTCTTTTGTTTGTTTTTTTCTCCTCTGACTGTGTCTGTCTTTGAGATTGCTGTTCTATTCTCTGCTTGATCATTCTGCTGTTGAGAGCCTGCCTATAATGAATTTTTCAGTTCAGTAAATGTATTTCTCAGTTCCAAGATTTTTGTTTGAATTTTTCAAAATTTCAATCTATTACATTTCTGAATTGCTGTTCTGTGTTATCTTGGAGATCACTGAGCTTTCTTTAAACTGCCATTTCAAATTCTTGATCAGAGAGTTCATATATTGCCATCTCACTTGAGCCATTCACTGATTCCTTGTTTCCTCTATTTGGGGAGGTCAAGTTTCCCTGTTTGCTGTTACTTTTTGTGGATGTACGTCTATGTCTTTGCACTGAATGAATATTTATTCCAGTCTTCTCTGTCATGCTTGTTTTGGTTTTTGTTGGATTTGTTTACTTAGAAAGTCTTTATAATTTACCTGTTGATTTTCTTTCTTTTTTCCCTCACTCAGTTGCTGCCTTGTTTTTGACACTAGATAGTGCCTTTGGCCCTAGTTTTCCTCCATTCTAGTAAACAATCCGAGTATAGCCTATCCTGGATAGGGAAGCCCCAAAGGGACTTACCCAAAGGGGATTCTTCCACCTCAGCCTTCCAAGTAGCTGGAACTACAGGCACGTGCCACCACGCCCACCTAATTTTTTTGATTTATTGTAGAGATGAAGTCTTGCCAAGTTGCCCAGGCTGGTCTTGAACCTGTGGACTCAGGCATTCCTCTTACCTCGGCCTTCCAAGGTGCTGGGATTATAGTCGTGAGCCACTGCACCTCGCTCTTTTTTTCTTTTTTTAAGTGAGAGTCTCACTCTGTCACTTAGGCTAGAGTGCAGTGGCACACTCACAGCCACTGCAGCCTTGACCTGCTGGGCTCAGGTGATACTTCCACCTCAGCCTTCCAAGTAGCTGGAACCACAGGCATGCACCACCACATCCAGCTAATTTTTTGATTTATTGTGGGGACGAGGTCTCACCACGTTGCCCAGGCTAGTCTCGAACCTGTGAACTCAGGCAATTCTCTTGCCTCAGCCTCCCAAAGTGCTGGGGTCATAGGCGTGAGCCACCGCACCCAGCTTATTCCATTGAATTTGCATGTATGTCTGCCACTTTACTTGTTCCCTGTTTCTTTTTCAAGTTCAGACTATCTCTGATATTGTTTTCCTCTTTCTTTCTTTCTTTTTTTTTTTTGAGTTGAAAGCTCTGTCGCACAGGCTGGAGTGCAGTGACATGCTCATGGCCACCGCAGCCTCGACCTCCTGGGCTCAGGTGATTCTTCCACCTCAACCTTCTGAGTAGCTGGAACTACAGGCCTCTTTCTTAAATTATATATTTAAAGAGTTTTTTTAGAGCAAGTCTTTTGGTGGTAGAAGCTCCTGTTTTTGTTTATCTGTAAATATTTTTATTTTCTTTTTATTTTTGAATGATAGTTTGTCTAGATACACAATTCTAAGTTGACAGTGGATTTCTCTCAATGCTTTGAATATGTTACTTCACATCTTCTAGCTCTCACTGTAGTTTCCAGAAGCCTGTTCTCATGTTGTCATTCCTTTATAGATGTCCCCTCTCTGATTGCACTCGTGATTTTTTCATTGTTTTAAATGCTCTGTAGTTTTAGGATGAAACCTTTAAAATGTATTCTGCTTTTGACATATTATATATCATGGATCTGTAGATCCATATTTCTCACCAATTCTAGAAAATTCATAGCCTTTATTTCTTTATGTATGTCTGCTTCATTATCTACTTCTGGAACTCCAATCAGTGGCATGTTTGTACTACTCCATATACCCTTTTATATTTTCCGTCTTCTGATTTTTTCTTTGCTACATTTTGAATATATCTTGCAGTTGTATTTTTCAGTTCACTATTTGTCCAGTAGTTCTAGCACCATTGCTGAAAAGACTTTTTCCAATCCTCCAAAGTCCCACCTTTTTCATAAATCAGTTATTGATATGTCATAATCAAGTATCTGCTTCTGGGCTTTCTGTAAATTTTACTGATCTCTTTGTCTATTATTGCACCCTGGTAATTCAGGTAATGTTATACTACCTTAATTACCATAATTTCATAATAAGTCTTGGAATTCAATAGGCAAGCTCTCCTACCTGGTTTTCCTTCACTAAGAGTATCATGACTATTCTCGACCCTCTTTTTTCCCCAAAATTCTATTTAGAATCAGCTTGTCAAGTTCCACAAAAACAATGTTGGAGTTTTTATTGTGATTGCTTTAAATTTATAGATCAATTTTGAATGAATTGACTTTTCAAACATTGGGACTTATGGTATATGGAAATGGCATATCACTCCATTTATTTAGATCTTCTCCAATTTCTCTTGTTACATTTTGTAGTTACATTGAATAGTATTTTTCTGTAGAAGGCCACTGACTCTCCCCTTGTCTTCTGAAAATTTTGCTGTATTTTCTCATTTCCTTATGTCTTCCTTTTTATTTTCATTGATCTTTTTTATTTATTTCTGTAATTTTAATGTGATTTTAAGTGCAACATGTGTGTTAAACACATGCAATCAGTAAACTATTCTTTTTTTTTTTTTTGATTTGGAGTCTTACTCTGTCACCCAGGTTGGAGTGCAGTGGCATAATTTTTGCATATGTTTTGTTATATTTATTCCTAGATACATGATATTTTTGTGATTATAAGTGATATTTCTTTAAACTTTCATTTTCTAACTTATTTTTGCTAGCACAAAAAAGGAAATTGACTGTAATATGTTGACTTTGTATTTTGTAGTATTACTTAATGTTTTTATTGATTCAAATAATGTAATCAATCAGGTAATGTAGATGTGCTTGAATTTTCTATGTATATCATTATACTATCTGTAATAATGACAGTTTTATTTCTCTCTTTTTAATTCATATACCTTTTTTTCTTGCCTTATACCACTGGTTAGTATCTTAGTATAATGCTGAATAGGGGTAGCAATGAAGGCAACCTTTTCTAGCTTCCAATCTCAAAGAAAAGTTTTCGGTGTTTTACCACTAGGTATGATGTTATGGACTCTCTTTAGCAGATTAAGGAAATTCCCATGCATTCCTAGTTTGCTAAATATTTTCTTTAAAATTTTGTAAAAAATGTAGCAATTCATCAAATGCTTCTGCCTTTTTTGCAATAATTACATGAGTTTTTCTCCTTTCACCTTTTAATGTGGCAAATTATATTAATTTTCTGCCATATATTTCCAGCCTTGCATTTCTGGGACAAATGCAACCTACTTGCATTTGAATTATTAGCCTTTTCATATATTGTTGGCTTTAGAATTTTTAAAAATGTTCTAATGCTTAGAATTTTTGTTTTTGAGTAAAATTGACCTGTAATTTTCTTTTTCATATTGTCTTTATTAAGTGTTGATATCAATGTTAGTGCTGGCCTCATAAAAGAAGTTGGAAACTGTTCTGTCTTTTAATATTCTCTGGGGAAGTTTGTGAAATATTGAAACCATGCCAGTTTAGTAGACAGGACTTAGTATAGGGAGTTTCTTAGACAAGTATTGGAGGACTGAAAAGGGAAAGTGAGAAGTTCAGTAACACACACATAATATGTGTAGGAAGTAGCTACCATCCCTAGAGATGAAGGGACAAAGAAAAAATATTAAGTTATTAGGAACTACAAGTTTGGAGAAAAGACATAGAGCTGGGACCCAGACCTCTGAGGAGTGGTACTGCCCAGCTGGTGCTGATCCCTCAGAAGTCACACAAAAGACTCAGGCAAGCTACAGTCCATGCAAGAACTGTTTCATGTCTAGTTTGCTTTTACAGAAAGCATCCCATTTAAGATATTTTACTTCCCACTGGAAAATTGTTACCATGTACTGAATGTGTTAGAACAAGACACTTTACTATCATGTGCAAACCTACAAAGTATACAATGTGAATAGCACAGTACGTGAGACATGGTAGGCTACTGGCTCCCCCCATCTTTTGAAAATTTTACTATATTTTCTCATTTCCTTATGACTTCCTTTTTATTTTCATTGATCTTTTAAATTCATTTCTGTAATTTTAATGTGATTTCAAGTGCAACATGTGTGTTAAACACATGCAATCAGTATACTATTTTTTTTTTTTGAGTCTCACTCTGTCACCCAAGCTGGAGTGCAGTGGCATGCTCTTGGCCACCCCAGCATTGACCTGCTGGGCTAGGCAATCTTTCCACCTCAGCCTTCCAAGTAGCTGGAACTACAGGTGTGCACTACCACACCTGGCTAATTTTTTTCTGATTTGTATTGTAGAGACAAGGTCTCGCCAAGTTGCCCAGGCTGGTCTTGAACCCCTGGGCTCAGGCAATCCTCTGGCCTTGGCCTTCCAAAGTACTGGGATTACAGGCTTGAGCCACCATGCCTGGTCTAGTAAACTATTCTTTAACTGGAAATCATATATAAAGTTAGTTATAAATGTATTATTTTTATATTTATTAAATTATTCCTTATAAAATGAAATAGTAGTATTAAAATTTATTTGCAATCTTGACATCTCTATTACAGCTCTTCTTTTAATATCATCATTTGTTTTGCAGCTTCAAAAAGAACATGAAAATCAAAATCAAGTTATAATCTTGTATTGGTATGAAACATATCAGCAAATAAGATGTCTGAAAAGGAGGGCGCATCAGAAGAGCTAGAGAATATTGCTAATCAATGTATAAAAGAATCTGAATCACAGTCAGGGAAGGAGCCTGGATTTGTTAGAGAAGCATCAGATTCACTAAATGAAGCTTCTCATTACCTGGAAGGGAAACCTTCTGACCAGATTTATGAAACACATCCCAGAATGAATATATTAGAGTCAACATCTTCCTCTGGAAGCAAATCTAAGAAAAATGCAGAACAAAATAAAAATCTTCCATTTTCTGAAACAAGCATTAGAAATGCCAGCCTAGTGTCAAAAATAGAAATTTCACAAAGTTTATCATCACTAACTGGGAGTACTACAGAATATCAGGCTTTTAACTTCCAATCTCCTAAAACAGTAGGAAAAGTTAATCCACAAGTCTCTGAAGAAAACCAGAAACAACTTGGCTTTGAGTCAGATAATTTTACAGTTAACCTTGAGGCCAAGGGTTTACTAGAATTTCCTAAGGACATTTTAAAAACCAAATATGTAAAATATCTATATTTAGACAAGAATCAAATCAAAACTTTTCAAGGGACAGACTCAGGTGATCTGCTAGAACTCGAAATTCTGTCAATGCAAGAAAATGGGTTATCATCACTTCCATCTGAAATTCAATTACTTCATAATTTAAGGATATTAAATGTCAGTCACAACCGAATATCACATATACCTAAGGAAATATCACGGCTTAGGAAAGTCAGGCAACTATTTTTTAATAACAATTACATTGAGAGTTTTCCTTCTGATTTACAAAGTCTTGGAAACTTGGAAATTTTAGGTTTGGGTAAAAATAAGTTAAGAGAGTTACCAAATACTCTGCCTAATTTTGAAACTTTGAGGGTTCTCAATCTGGAATATAATCAACTAAAAATATTTCCTAAAGCTCTATGCTTCCTTCCAAAGTTAAATTCACTAAATCTTACTGGAAACCTGATAAGCAGTTTGCCAAAAGAAATTAGGGAACTTAAAAATTTAGAAAAACTTTTACTGGATCACAATAAACTTACATTTTTGGCTGTGGAAATTTTTCAGTTACTCAAAATAAAAGAACTCCAACTGGCTGACAATAAATTGGAAGTTATTTCACACAAAATCAAGAATTTCAGGGAACTTAGAAGTCTTATACTTGATAAAAATTTATTGAAAAATATACCCGAGAATATTTCCTACTGTTTAATGTTGGAATGCCTTAGTCTTAGTGATAACAAAGTAACAGAACTGCCTAAGAGCATCCATAAGCTTAAAAATTTAAGAAAACTCCTTGTAAACAGAAATCATATAGTGAAAATAACTGAAGATGTCTCACATCTTGGTAATATATGCAGTCTAGAATTTTCAGGAAATATGATCACAGATGTTCCCATTGAAATAAAAAACTGCCAAAAAATAACTAAAGTTGAACTGAATTATAATAAAATAATATATTTTCCAGTGGGACTATGTGCTTTACATTCTCTTTACTACTTGAGTTTTAGTGGAAATTATATTTCAGAAATACCTGTGGACATATCTTTCAGTAAACAACTGCTTCGCTTAGAGTTTCATGAAAACAAACTCCTCATGTTTTCTGAGCATTTTTGTTCTCTTAGTAATCTCATATACCTAGATCTTGGCAAAAACCAAATAAAGAAAATTCCACCATCTATTTCCAATATGGTGTCACTCCATGTACTTATTTTATGTGGTAATAAATTTGAAACTTTCCCTAGAGAATTGTGTACTTTAGAAAATTTGCAAGTACTTGATCTTTCGGAAAACCAATTACAGAAAATCCCTTCGGAGATCTGTAATATAAAAGGAATTCAGAAATTAAACTTCTCAAGCAATCAATTTATATATTTTCCTATTGAACTTTGCCAACTACAATCACTGGAACAGCTGAATATAAGTCAGATAAATGGGAAAAAGGTAAGAATCTGATATTTTGGGTTTTGGGGGAAGGAAGGTACTGGAGGGGGTCAGAATCTAAGCTGCAGGATATCTGCATGTGTATATGAGTGCTCATTTTAAATTTGGCTAGGTAATTTTTTGATTTATTGTAGAGACGAGGTCTCACCAAGTTGCTCGGGTTGATCTCGAACCCACAGACTCAGGCAATCCACTCGCCTCGGCCTCCCAAAGTGCTGGGATTACAAGCTGAGCCACTGAGCCTGGCCAACAATTTCTTAATAATTGTTATAACTAGTACACGGTTTATATAACTAATCCTCTTGATGCTATACAATTTATGGGTGTTGTAATTTTTCTTCATAATAATATGTAATGATGCATAATAATGCATAATGATGAATTTCTCCATAAATACAACCTTTTTCTTATTTTAGACTATTTTCTTAGGAAATTCTCCTTGAATAATTGCTATATCAATGAAAATAAATGCTCTTAGAGTTTAGCATTTTATTTTACTCAAACTCTAAGAATACATTTTATGTAAATATTTGTTTAAAAAACTAAAACATTACTGATTTATATTAAGATCTTAGTAAACAAATGAAAAGAACACAGTATCTTTAATCTTTAATACTGAGCTATTTCCTAAAGCAAGACTTCCCAAAGTCTTTTCCTAAAAGTCCTAGTACTAGGAGCTTCTGATTTAAAAAAAAAAAAGATGGTGGTGGAGAGTGATTGATGGGGAAACAGTGTCTGTGAGCAAATATGAGAGATTCCCAAAAAACCCTGGAATTATCTTTTGGAGGGTAGGCCCCTTGTAGTACACTTGCAATTTGTTCTTCCGGATAAATGGTCAATCAAAATTTTTATCTGGAAGTTCTGAGAAGGTTGCTTCATGATTTGAGAAAGGAATGTCCCAAGTTGTGGCAAACAAGTGGCTGGTTCTTCTGCCATGACAACACACCTGCCTATAGCACACCGAGTGTTCAGCAGTTTTTGACCAAAAATGGCATCACCCCCATGCTCCACCTTCTCTATTCACCTGCTCGCTCCCCAAGCAACAATTTTTTTTTTGTTTCTCCAATGAAAAAAAGTCCTCAAAGGGAAATGTTTTTGCTAATGTGGAAGAGGTGAAACAAAAACAGCGGATGCACTAAAAGGCATCAAAATTGACAAATTCAAAAACTGTTTTGAGCAGTGGAAAAGTCATCTCAATAGGTGTATTGCATCAAACAGAGTACTTTGAAGGGAGCTGAAGTCTAAACATGTAGCAATACATACACAATTTTTTTTTTTTTTGAGTTGGAGTCTCACTCTGTTGCCCAGACTGGAGGTAGTGGCTGCTCCCGGTCACCGCAGCCTCCACCTGCTGGGCTCCTGCAATCCTTCCACCTCAGCCTTCCGAGAAGCCGGAATTACAGGCACGCGCTACCACGCCCGGCTGATTTTTTTGATTTATTGTAGAGATGAGGTCTCGCCAAGTTCCCAGGTGGGTCTCGAACTCGCGGGCTCAGGCAATCCACTCACCTCAGCCTCCCAAGGTGCAGAATTACAGGCTGAGCCACCGAGCCTGGCTTGTTGTTGTTATTTTAGTGCCTCCTGTAGCTTTGAGAAGCAATGGGTTCTTCTCTCTCTCTCTCTCTTTTTTTTTTTTTTTTTTTGAGTTGGGGTCTCACTCTCTCGCCCAGGCTGGAGTGCAGTGGCACACTCACAGCCACTGCAGCCTTGACGTGATGGGTTCGGGCAATTCTTTTACCTCAGCCTTCCAAGTAGCTGGAACTACAGGCATGTGCCATCATGCCTGGCTAATTTTTTGATTTCTTGTAGAAATGAGGTCTCATCAAGTTGACCAGGCTGGTCTTGAACCCGTGGACTCAAGCAATCCTCTCACCTCGGCCTCCCAAAGTGCTGGTATTATACGCATGAGCCCCTGCACCCGGCCTGGGTTCTTCTCTTAAAGAATAGCAATGTATGATAGTATGTTAAATGCTCTGGAGAGTCCTGCACTAAAGAAATTGACTTGTTTCTATGTAACCTATAGTTCCCAAATTTATTTGACCATTTATAATGTAATACCTATTATATAATACATTTCCAGAAAGGCTACTCCAGGGAATACTTGCTTAAGTAGATGGAATAAATGACAGTGTATCTTGTATTTTTAAAAGTTGCTGTTGTACTAAAAGACACTTTTTAGTTCTGCAGTATAATCATCAGTTTATTCCTTGACTGAATCTTCTCACTTTGTCCTCTGGTATCTTAACCTTGAGTATCTCAATGGTCATGTTCTTAATTTTCTCTTCTCTGTTAACTCCTTCCTAAACTTCACCACATCTGCTGTCACTTACATGCATATGATCCTCAAATTTCTGTAACTGGAGCCGATCTCATATCAGTGCTCTACTCCCATAGTTCTCAATTTTTCCTGGAAATTCTATGTTCTATTCTTCTGTTGTCTCAAACTCAACATAACTTCAAAATCAAATCATTTTTCCCCCAATATTACTTCCTTCAAAACTTTTCCATTTCTGTTTCAATGTCAACTTTCTTCAAATATGCAGGCCAAAAACCATGGAGTCATCTTTGTTTCTTTTTCATCTTCAGTTATGCCTAACCTTACAGCAGAATTATTTCACTCTTCCTCTGAAAAAGCTCTTAGTTATCTTTCTCATTTTCTAAAGTCACTGTCTCCATCCTGGTCTGTGAGCATCACTTACTTCATGCAGAGATTATGCCAGGAGCCTCCTCCCTTTTAGTAGGCCTTGTTAAAGTTATTATGACTTCATTTCAGAGGACTGTTCTCAACGTATCATACTTGCCTGTCAGGAATCTAAGTTGCGTGTCCATGGCCTACTCAAAGTAGGTGGTTGCCAGAGACACTAGTACACATCATTGCAACATCATGACAAAGGTCACCGGATTAAAAAAAAAAGATTTACAAGAACTCCTCTCAAAAAACCATTACACGTGGCTGAAAATATCACTTTGATAACTCCCTTGTGGTGGAGATGAAATGCCCAACGAATTCATTTTTGTAATAGCAAATGGTCACTAAGGAGTTATCTGAAGATGAGTCAGGTTAATTATAGAGTTTTTATTTTGCTAAGGGAAGGGTTCCCTATAGGAATCATCCCTCTACAGTAACTCTGCTGTTGCACAGCTTTCAGATACCTCTTCAAATACATGAAGAGCAAGTAGTTAATATTTGTTTGAATGAATGTCAAATGATGAACCTGCCTGCCTTTCTTGATCTGACTCTTACTTCATAAGCCTGACTCTCAAGTCTTGCCATACCATTGTTCCATGCTCCTTACCCAGATATGTCTCCTGCTTCCCATAACCTCTCTGTACTGGTCAACTTCTCGGTGGCCATTTTTATGCATGATACTTGTCTTGCCTTAAGTGTCTTTTAAACTCTATCCAATCCTGTTTATTCTTAAGAGGCTATTCAAGTTCTACTTTCTATATGAAGCTTTACATTAGTTCTCTGCATTAGGGTAAATTGAAGCAAGGTGGACCAGTGCCATGGTAATAATGCAAAGAATTGCAAAGACAAAGCAAAAGAGTTTATTCACATTTAGAACAGACTCTAAATGGGCCAATGCAGGCAAGCACAATGTGGCATTGGTGATTGAGGAGGGCGAGGGCTTTTAAAGTTTTAACAAGGTTAAAAAAAATCTCCAGCAGCTGCATTCCTAAGTTTTGATAACACTAGTCTTGTGTCTTTGGCATTGTCTGGGAAACCAGTCCTGTGACACCTGGTGGTGGGCATATAGGCAGTCACAAAAGGCTGATTACAGTTAGATCAGCTTGGTCTTGTATAGCTGGAAAACAAATGCCTAGAATAAAGGAGTGATCAGTATAAGACATACTTGGGAGATGCAAAACAATTATCAATAGCTAGTTCTGTCCTTGGCTAATGATTAGGAAGTGAGGAGTGGAACAAACAGCTAGCAAAGTATGACAAGGCCTAAGCGATGTTAAAATGACTGTTCTTTAGCTAACATTGCTCCATTTTGACTTTACTCTTTCACTCTAATTTGTAGTGATACATCTTCTCTAAATTTTCATTCAGCTGTTATTATTTGTATTTTTTATTTTGTCACTGGATTACCTATTGCTTCTTGGTGTTTCCCGATTGTTTCATATGCATGTACTTTGTTCCTTGGACTAAAATGTAATCTCCTTGAAGTTAAGAATTGTTTCTTATGCTTCTTTTATATCTGAAAGAACACTGAGTACAATAATCAGTGTGTTTAGTTATTTCTGAGGGGCCCCTATATTCAAAAATTCTTTGTTTATAGAACTTCCTTTATTTCAAAGACCACTCATAATGGCCTTATTAACTTATATTCTTTAAATTTGCAATTTATACTTCACCTTAAGATAATGTGTTAATTCCTGTTGTTTTGCAACACTTTTTGTATTAGGATTTTTATTTGAGGCTACATTGCCAAACTGTGTGACTCCATTATTGAACATTTACTAAAAATGCATTGTGCTTGGGAACATGTTTACTAAAAAGTATAAAATGTGCATCTCACCTAATTTAATAATCTAAAGAAAACACACATGGGACGAATAAAGAGCGAGGTTGGTAAGAGAAGAAATAAAGAGATCGAATGTGGGATGGAGTAGTTGGGAAAGTCTTCAGGGAGGTGAAGAAGCCAAAGCAGGATTGGATTTAGGAGAGGAGAAAGGGATAAGGAGGCAAAGGATACTGAGTGTTGGGAGAGTACGGAAAATGGGTTGGCGACCACAGGATTGAACTGGTAACATTGGTCAGATTGGGAAGGTACTTAGATGCCACACAATATCTTGTGTGGTTTTAGCTATAAGGGGGAGTTAGTCACAAAGAATTTGTGACATAAAGAAAATATTTCCTTTCTAAGACAAAAATAAAATTCCTCCTTTCATTTAATTTTAGAAAAATTCTAGTCATACAAAAATGTGTGTTTATAAAAGTATAATTGTTTAATTTTTGTTACAGTTAACAAGAATTCCAGAAGAACTATCTAATATGACTCAACTTAAAGAACTTGATATCTCAAATAATGCAATCAGAGAGATTCCAAGAAATATAGGGGAATTGAGAAATTTGGTTAGTTTACATGCATGCAACAATCAAATAAGTTATCTTCCACCATCTTTTCTATCTTTAAATGATCTCCAGCAACTAAACCTGAGTGGTGAGTGTCAAGCATAACCAATAAGCATAATCAGTAAATAGAGTATTAGTGTGCATTACTATTTTTGATGACAAGATACAGAATGGCCAACAGTCAACATGATGTATTAAGTGCCCATTGGAAGGAAATGGCTATCCTTGATTCAGAAAAGGAGAGCAATGTGTAAGGTCCAGTTTCTTCCCTGAAAGAGATTAGAATCCAGCTGGAGAAGCTGCACATATTTTCATTTATTTTCTCTCTTCTCTGCCTATACCCAGTCATTCAGTATTTCTTCCCTTTCTGAGCCTAACCTCACCCTTTCCTCCACACACACACACCTGTGCAACCTCATGTCAGTGTTTTCTCTGTGTTTTCTTCTCCTGCTGGTTCCCAAGATCCCACTGCTATACTCTACAGCACTCTGATATCTTACACAAAGTCTTTTACAAAACAAAGTACTGCAATAACCAAAACAAAATAAAAATGACACTGTAGAGATGAAAATAAATCACTCTAAAGATATCAGAAAAGATTTCCCAAAGTACAACAAACACTAAGCTGATATTTAAAAAAATAATTTATAACATGAAAGATTTCAAACAAAATATAGAAAATAATAAACACCTACTCAAAGTTACAGGATGCTAATAATTTGTGATGTTAATATTTTGTGATATTTACTTGAGATATTTTTATTGTTAAGAAATAAAGTTGAAACATTTTTTGTATATCTCCCCAAATGAGAGGTAACTACTTATATTACTTATCTCTCTATTAAAAAGTTATATTGAAAATTTTAAATCATACTAAATTATATCATGTTTTACAAATCACTCTGTAACTTGCATTTTGCATTCATTATATTTCTAAAATCAATCCATGTTAATATATATGTAGACCTAGTTCATTTTAAATGGTGTATAATAATTATATGGTTAAACAACAATCTATTATCCTGTTGATAGACAATTAGGCTGTTTGTTTGCTATTATAAACATCCTTGTACATGTTCCTAATATATATATCTGCTTGAGATTTTCTAGAGCATAAAGCTATAAGTAGATTTGCTGGATCAGAGCATCTGTACATCTTCATCTTCACTAGATTTTGACAAATTGATCTCCATAGTAGTTTTTACCACCTAACCAAATGAATGATTGAGTTTATGGGATTTTATATTTCTTTTGTTTAAATTTTATTTTAAAGTTGTGGGGTACAATTCAGGGTTAGGTATATAAATGTTCATTATGCAGGTACCCTTGTTGATGAGGTGTGCCCCTCCCTCCCTGGCAGTTTCCCGCAACTGCCAATCCCACCCCTCCTCCCCTGGCAGTTTCCCACTACTACCAATCCCTTTCTTATAGTATTATGATAATTGTTCAAAGTCTGCTTATGAGTGAGAGCGTATGATACTCTGTTCTTTGTTTCCATGATAGATCACTGAGTATGATAGACTCTAAGGAATTATATATTTCAGTTGGAAGTAACTTTTATAGCTAGAGCTCCACACCATATTAAATTTAGATTTCCATATTAAAAACAAAGCTCATCTTTTTGCTAAAATAATACTAATACTGCAGTAAAACCTGTAGTAATGCAACAACACTTAGATGTAATGCAATTAACTTTTGTCTCCTGAATTCCTAGAACTCCCAGTATGCTAGTTGTGTAGGTAAGTGTTGGTTATAACTATTTTATTCCCAATAATTTGCAATCAGTTGAAATAACTGAACTCTGTAATTGATTTTTTAAGTTTTGCTTGTGTTATGGCAAGATTTTACTGTATTTTAGGGAAGTTATCTTTTTGTCCAAGTGTAGGACATACTCCTCTTACTTAATATTTGTGCATAAAAAAAAAAAAAAGCTGGCCAAAGTCTCTGAGCCTATTAAAGAACAGAACCACCAACTAGAAGCATAGTCCTCTGGAGGCTTTCTACTATAGTATCAAGACAGAATGGGAGGGAACATAAGATACATTTTTCTGCAAGCTTGGCCAGTTCTCTGTCAGTCCCCATCAGAATTAGAAAATTTTAAAGCTCACTGTATCAGTCAGGGTCTAATCAAGAGACCTAAACCACACCTAGATAATGACTAAGTATAATATTAACTACATAACTGGAAGGATTAAAAGAGAACTCTAAGGTTATCAGAGAGGAAGCAAAGGCAGAAAGCAATAACTACTCCTATGGCCGAGGTAATAAAGATGTTGGAATTATTAAAACTAAGAAGCACAGAGCAGGGGCTATACAGGGGTGAAACTCAGATACCTGGGATCTGAGACTACTTGGCTGATGCTGCTGTCTCTGAGTCTGTGGGGACGGAGCTGGGAATGATAAAGCTGGTTCTGCAAGTATTGGAAAAACTGCAAACTACATTCATCTATTGCTATGGGAAGGCACCCCTGCTGGTGGGTCAAGGAGAGGGTTGGGATGATATAGGTAAAACCAGTAAAGAAGCCCACAGGGATGGTGTTGGAGCTAGGAGACAAAACCTAAACAATCGGCATATTCACAGTCACAAACTCTTATTGCTGGATTGTGTGATGAAAAAAGTAAAGGATCTGAAGGAAGAAGGCCTGAGTTCCATTACTGTCTTTCATAAAATGAAGCTAACAGGAAAACCCATGCCACAGATTGAGTGTGAAGACTGAAGGAGACTTTCAAAGCAAGTAACACACCATGAACACAGTATTCAAACAAAAGACATTTATTTATTTATTTATTTATTTATTTATTTTTGAGTTGGAGTCTCACTCTGTCGCCTAGACTGGAGTGCAGTGGCGCACCCCTGGCCACCGCAGCCTCGACCTGGTGGGCTCTGGCGATCCTTCCACCTCAGCCTTCCAGGCGGCTGGAACTACAGGCGTGCACTACTACGCTTGGCTAATTTTTGATTTATTGTAGAGATGAGGTCTCGCCAAGTTGCCCAGGTGGGTCTTGAACCCTTGGGCTCAGGCAATCCACTCACCTCAGCCTCCCAAAGCGCGGGATTATAGGCTGAGCCACTGAGACCGGCTCAAAAGACATTTATATGCTCTTGTTACTTAACCCCCATCACTAACTGTAGTCAACCCAGGAAAGTAAGACCTTTGAACCGTTTTTTCATATGCAAGATAGGAATGCTGTAACTTGTGCTTGTTCATAGAGTAAAATACAATTAGATAAAATTTAGGAAAATATTTTAACAAGTGTGAAGCATGATACCAATGAAAGATATTTAAAAAGGAATTCCTTTCTTTCCTCACCACATGGACTTTGGAGTTGGACAGACCTTGGTTAGCATTTTAGCTCCATCATTCACAAGGAATTTTTCTTTTTTCTTTCTCCCTCCATCTCAATAAAACTTTGTGTATACTAACAATTTTTTTTCAATGTTAAGATTCTTTTTCCTTATCTGTAAATGGGAATAAAATCTACTCTTTGTGTTGTGATGATTAAACGATCAAGCACTAAGCACTTATGGAGTGTAGGTGTTTAACAAATATTAGCACCTCTCTCCCAAGGAACCAAAATACCAAATGAAAGAAGGTAGATTGACATGTAAGCTACTCATGGTTGTCATCAGGGAGGACAGTTTTCTTGCCTACATATCTCATAGTTTTCTCTGCTGATCTACATTGATAATGCCAAAAATGTGCGGGGTCCAGCCCCTGCCGGGTCGTGAGGTTTCCTGAAGGAGAGACGGATTAGGCGAAAGACGAAAATAATAAACTCAGACACATGCTTGCTGAACAGGTGACATCCTTTATTAGTTAACAGAAAACTTTTATACTATTCGTAAAGGGGCAAGACAAAATTCCTTCACGTACATATCTTTTAAAAGTTACCACCATCTAGTGGTCTTAGAGGAAATGAACAAGCCAAGAACACTATCTACTTTCACTTAAACGAAACATAATGCATACAAGGCTTACTTTGATTTCGGTTCCACATCACTTGTCTAGTTAAAAAAGCCTTAAAATCACTAAAAAAAAACTATAGATTGTACCTAGTGATAGTAGGAATATGAAGCCCATGAACTTGACCAAACAACAGTGGCTAGCATTTAAAGAATAACTATGAAAGTGACTTACTGTGAAAATACATACACTAATCTTTACTCTGAATAAACATATAAAGTGAACTAAACATAATGAAATAAAACTAACACAACTAAAATTATTATGGTTGCATGATTGCTAATGAGTTTTTAAGTTTAGGATAATGGTGATTTGGCTGTTTTCCCTTATGCTTGGCAACCTCCTGGAAAACATCTTTGTCTTAAGATAGGTACTTGAGCAGTTATAATTATCTTTAAGGCACCAATTTGATCATTGTGTGCTTAAGCTTATGCACTTAAAACAACCTTCAAAGTAACTATAAAACACTAGACTATAGCATTAAAACTTAATTAATGACTAAAAGTAAAAACCTTGTTAAACATAACCAGAGCCTAATAATTTTTGTCAACCCTTATGCATATGTATATTTATTATATAAACTTGTATGATATTACATTTACCAATTACGATTAATACATGGATAAAACGATTAGCATGTCTAGAATAGCACTACCGGCAACTCTCTTCAAAACAGTCCCAAATTACAGTCCTTGAAGTGCTTCAAGAAAGTTTCCAGGTGCACAGTTCTTCAAGTAGCAGGAGTTTTTCTCTTTTGGGCTTTTATGACCTTCAGAGCTTTGTAATCGCCTTTCTTGTCCAGGTGTCTTCATTACTTTTCTCTTATCCTGCAGTGTTTATTTCTAAAGAAAGCTCAAAAGAAGCTTTTAGTGATGTTCCCAGGCCCCCAAGGTTGCTTTCTGTATTTAGTTAATTTATCATAAAAGTATGTAGTATATTATGAATTCAGTGAAAACCCACTCTA